TGGCTGTGTATCACATTAGGGTGCTAAGTAAAGTTAAGCTCTAGGTTTTTCTGTAATTTTTTTTACCTTTTTCAATGAGGATACCTCAAATTCCCTTTTATTCTTCAGCCTATTACAAAGCATATGTTTCTAAGGAAAATGTGTCTATCTGTAGGATTTAAACAAAAAATTTGAAACCAATTTGTAACAACAGTATCATTTCCACCCTTCTCAAAGTTAGTGCTATTTTTTAGCATTATTTTTTTTCTCAAAGTTAGCACTACTTTACTCAATCAGCAAAGCATTCAGATTAAGTATTTGATAGTGATTCTATCTCAAAACCTTTGCATTTTTTTCCAAAGGGCTTTTCAACTACAATGCTGAATTTCTTTGAAAACAGACATGCAATGTGTACCACAGCATGATTCTGCTCTACATGTATACAGTTCTTGTTTCGGATTACAAAGTGAACTGAATAACCATCTCAAAGTGTTCCAGTGAAGATATGCACATTCATTATTCTGCCTACTAACATTTCTCTTAGACAGTACGCTCATACAATAGTTATGCTGCCGTGAAAGCATTGATCCAAAAATCCATCACCAACTTTGAAGATAATAATACAGGCAACTTAACTGTACTAATGCTCACAGTTTATTACAACTTCAGTCTTCTCAGTTTAAGACAGCCTTTTTTTCCACTATGTGGTCTAATTAACTTTGAGCCCTTATCAACCAATACAACTATTCAACAGCCACATACTACCCATGCAGATTTGAGTTCAAGACTTCCATGCTGTTTAGCCACTGTAAAATGTAGACTAGCATTTAAAAAGTGCAAATAAACAAATTCAAAATAACATAGATTATTCCAACATGACTTGTAATTGCTTGGTGCAAGTGGTGTTTGCTTTCCTTTCTACATAATTATGCAAGCATGAGGAAGTCAATAACTGCCTCTGATCACTTGTTCAAACTGGAACACCAGGAAAGATTTTAAGAAAATAATTTTTCACAACGTAGAAACAAGTTAAAGGAGAAAACCACCTCTTAAGACTTACCTGTTCTCCTGCCTCCATCACAAAAACTATTCTAATGGTAACTCCTCCTTTAGAAATCTCCATTTCTGCTGCAAATTCAAATAGTTAACCAGAAAGTGAAAGGTCACTACATTCCATTAGTGGTTTCCAGCCTGCATAAGACACATGGGATTTTCTACTGACTTGTACTCAAAGTTGGAAATTAGTGGCTGAAAAGTTTACTAGATATTTTGCTTTTGTTTTCAGCCATAGTGGCAGAGAATATGAGCAACTGTCTGGCACACATTAAGGGAAAGCAGCTACAGCACCAGTGTACACCAGTGATCTCTCTGGGTAGCTGGAGAGGTCACTAGGACAGACTACTGAAACAAAAATGTAAATTCAGGGTGAATTAAAAGCAAAACAAAACAAAAATCTACCATAAACCATAGGCATGGCTTTCTTAATTTGTTAGTGTGGCAACTTTGAGCAAGCATCCAGGAACATCTAGGATTACCAATAAGAAGTATCAACAACCATTAAACAATTTGTACTTTACAGAATGAAAAACATTGACATGCAAATACTATCAAAACATTTACACAATAATTTCAGATCTCTTAATTCACAGACCACTGCTCTAGCTTCTGGGACATCTATTCTTTTGATCCCCACTCAGTAGTGAATTTTTTAACTGCAGTAGGTATATTACTTTCATTCACATATTTATATATCAAACAAATGCCATGATACATATTAAAAATCTTACGAGCATCTGCAGCAGTTCTTAGTACAAATCACTGGTGAAACAAGGCTTGTGTTTATTCCTCTCTTTAAGCAGACACTTTGCTTTCATGGGGTTTACTTCCTGATTTTGGAGCTAAAAAAAAGCACTCTATAAGAACGCTTTTACACATATTGCTACCTACTTAGTAAGTAGTAATTTCATGGCATGCAATTAGTTTTTAAATCATCAGACAGATTCCACATTCTTCTGACACATGCTTAATGCAAAAAAGGCCTTACACAAAAGGGGCTAAATTAAACAACAAAAAAACTTCACAACATGCAAGCAATCCTAGTCATTTATCTACACAACTGTGTTATCTATCAGAGATCAATCAAGACAGGAAAAAGCTTGATTTAGTAGAATATCACAATAACAAGCATAATTCTGTTAAGACTTGAACACTTCTCATAAGGCATATTTCAAGTCTCTTTTTAAGTGGTCTTTGCAGTCCATGGGAAGACTACTTAATAGGCTAAAGTTACTGGCTTATACAAGGGACTTTATTTCCTTGGATTAAGTTGGGTTATTACAAGAAGAACAATTATACCAACAGTTTTGGTAATCTCTTAGCAGACAGCATACCTCTCTTGTGTCAAAGTGTTGCGAAATGAAAAAAACATGACTGACTTACAGTTTTGTGTCAATACAATTCTTGGTGCTGTTCCTAAATATACTTCACTGTGTTTTACAAAGAAAGATCAACGTTTTATCCCTACCACACAGGTGGGAGAAAAGAGGCAGTAAAGCTAAATGGGTTGTTCAAGTTCACGTAAAGAGACAAAGATACCAATAAGGAATCCAGCTCTAAGGCTCTGTGCACCAGAATCCACAATGCTCTGCACTTCAAAGAATGACCAAGGAATAAATCAAAACACAGGCCTCAATCATGCAGTCAGAAGCAAGTCTGCAGTCAGCAGACTCAAAGCAAGACTAGGTCTTAAAGCATTAAATCCTCTATATGCTGAAGTGTCCTTGAGGCACACTCTTTGGTTAACTTAAAAAATAAATGCACAGAAATATACTCATATTTAAACAGTATCTTGATCTAGTACAGTCAATGTTACCTTGAAGTGATACAAACATCAAATAATTCTCTTAAGCATTCTCCCTTACTGCCTCTTATTGGACTAGCTTGTACCCTTGTAAACTTAACTAATAAATTACAAATTTAAGTCAGCCAGGACTGATGCACTGTATCACTCCTATAATCTTGATTAGGTTGTTGAATCTCAGAAATTTCTTTGGAACCACAATTCTGTTAAAAGTTTCCCTGTAATAGCTAAAGGTTCAAAGTAATGACTTACAGATTAACCTCCCTTAACACTACAGCACACAGTAAATAAAATACTGGAGTTATCTCAAGCACATGTTAAGTTTAACACTATACACATGCACAAATTGCAAAAATTACCGAATGAACACCTGAACACTCGACAGAATTTATCCCAACTTCAAAAATAAACACACAATAGTAGCACAAACCTTACTAAAGAACAAGCAAGCTGTGAGAGTTTTCAAAAAAATATGGGTCTATTAACAGGTTTTTGTGTTTGTTACTCTATATTTAATCATCTGCTTTACATTCAATTCAGCCTGAAGTGGATCTATATCACTATTTCAAAGAACACTTTGCATTCTACTTGTGATCTGACCTCCTCATGCTCCCAACTGTCTATCTACATATTAATACGGCTCCAAAAACCACAGTATCTGAACCTAATCTCTATGGTAACTGTAAGATTTGTTTACATTGAAAAAGAATATTAGAAATGTATGCAAATTTAACTGCCATTTAAATAAGTGTTTTTTCCTTCTGGGGAAAAAAGCTCCCTATACTGCCTCCTATTTATCTTGCTTCCATCTCCTGTATCCCCACCAGGCAATGAGCCACATTTGGAAAGCTCCCTATCATACAACTTCAACAGCCTGTTGTTGTAAATTCATAAATAGTTTACTTTTAATAAGACAGATGTGTGCAGCATTTTAGATCTTAGCACTTGCTAAAGAAAAATCACAGGGCAATTAAAACATGATTTTTAAAAATACTGTCATAAAGTCATCAAAGTAAAAAAAAAAAAAAGCTAAACCTTTAACAGCTATACATAAAAACTTTGCTGCTTGGCAAATCAGATCAATCTAGAAATTAAGAGTCTATTTCATTTCCCATTTCCAGCAGTGAATATAGTACTGGGTACACATTTTACATAATACTCATTCACAGACAGTAGGCAAAAACTCTGATAGTGGAAGAACCCACATACGGACTGCTCTTTTTTATTAACAAAAAACCAAAGAATTGATGCATCACAGGTTTGTAACAATTGTTTCTTTTAAGATTTACTATATTTTGAAATGAGATTTACTGCTACCCAGCAGGACCGGGAGCTGAATTAAATGGGGGTGATGGTAACCTAAGTGGCAGTTTGAGCGAGACGTATCAGCAAAACGGTAAAAAAAAACCAACACCCTAACAAATGCAGCTGTTAAAAACTACTTTTAGATACACAGGTCTTGGCCACACACAGAAGAAATCAGACTATTCCACAAACAGGATCGTTTTTCTATAAAGCCTGCATAATATACCAAACATAAATAGTCTAGAAAGGTCTAAGAGGAGGAAAATGCATGAGAGTGAGGCACATGAATAGTACACAGCACCGAGAGGAAAATTAGAACCTGTTTGAAAATCTTTCCGCACCTTTACAGCAATCATTTCACTGCAGAGAATCTCTTACATGCACCCTCCCCGATCACATCAAGATTATTCATTCAACAAAACTCCTATTGACGAATAGAAAGTAAGTAAATCTAGCCTCTATTCAAGTAAACAATGTTGTAGAGCCAGCATTTCCCCCACAACGTTACTTTCTCGAGCAGGGTGACTGTGCCCTGCTCTTCCATGAAGCAAGCTCAGCCCAGGCAGCCATGTCCTTATTCTCCTACAAACAATGTTTCTGAAGGAGAACAGCCCCTGCTCGGGGAACTTACAGCTTCCCCCAGCATAACGCGGCGGAGCAAAGCCCGCCCCACAATCAGCAAACGAGCCAAGGCACCGAAACACGGCAGTGGGGGCGAAGCTGCCCGCAGTCTGGATCTGCACCAGCACCGAGCCTCGCACCGGGGTCGGGACAGATAAGACTGACAGATAGGACAGCATTTCTCCATGCAACCCTCCCTCCTTTCCCCTCCCAGGCACACGAGCGAGTGTTTTACCTTCATGATGAGCTCAGGCTGCGGTAAAAGCCTCGATCGTGGCTGAGCGGCCGAGGCTGGACCTGGAATTTAAAACAAAGCGCTAAGGCACCGCACCAGCCGTTCGCACCGGGCGGGGGGAGGGGAGCCAAGGATCGGGTGGGGGCGCCGGGCTCCTCCCGAAACTACCCCTTTCCTTCCTCGGATCCCCCCTGCTCCCGCGGCTAACCCCCTTCCCTCTCTCCTCGGCCGCTGTTTCCCCCCCCGGCTCCCACACGCCGCGGCTTCCCCTACACTCGCTGCCATTGACGCCATTTCTGTCAGAGGAGGAGAAACTTGCCACAACAACAACCCACCCCCGGCTGCCGCGGGAGGGGGGAGGCGCCCCGGCCGCCTCCCCGGGGCGCTGCGCCCCTTCCCCGGGCACCGAGCGGCGGGAGGGCACCCGCCGGGGTCCCAGCGCAGAGAACACCCCCCTCCTCGCTTTACCGCGGGGAGCGGGAGAGAGGATAGAAGGAGGGAGAGAGGCTCTTCCTCCATTGTACGAGGAAGAGTGCCCGTGAGCGCGGCGGGGGAGCGGGGTGTAGGGAGCAGTCCCCCCCACCCCCGACACACACACACACACACGCTTTTGTAGGGGCTGCGGCTCCCGATCGCGGCGGCTCCTCCTCCCTCTGTCTCCCCCCCTCAATAAAGGAAAGCGCTGACTCCGCCGCAGGAGTTTCGGCAGCAACAGCCGCAACTCCCCGGCTCGGCGCAGCGGGTCCGGGCGGGGGGAGGGAGGGAGGGCAGGCAGGAGGCGGCGGAGGAGGGGAAGAAAAGGAAGAAGACGAAGAAAAGAAGGGAGCGGGGAGGGAGGAAGGGAGGGGGGCGGGGAGAAAGGGGCCCGACCTGCTCGGCGGGGACACGGAGCGTGTGTCTGCGTTGAGTGTGGAGGAGGGGGCTCCGTCCCTCCGGCAGAGGGGCTGGAGGAGAAGCCGCCGGTCCCTCCCCCCCGGGCCGCCACTGGGTGTCTGGGGCGGGGGGGGGAAGAAGAAGCAACGGCGAGTCCCGCCGCAGTCTCGCTACCAGGAGAAAAACAAGCGCCCCCCTTCCTCCCTCCCTCGCCGCCGCACGCCCGGCCCCGCGCCCCCACGGGGCCCCTCGCCGCCTCTCCGCCCGCCGCCGGCGGGACACGGGGGCTCCTTCTCCGGGCTCGGCGCCCTCACCTTTGTTCCGCGGCGACCGCCCGCCCGCTACTCCCCCGGCCCGAGGCGGAGGGCACGGAAGGGAACTGGGCGAAGGCTCCTCTCAGCTCCGGGCACCCCGAGCCCCGCTCGACGCTGCTGCAGCGGCTCCGCTGGCGGCGGCCCCGCACGGCGCGCGGAGGGGCCGATCCGTCCTGCGCGGCCCCGGCGGCGGTGACTGCTCGGCTCGGTCCCCCTCCCCCTCCCGCACCGATGACTGACTGACGGGCGAAGGCGAACGGCCACGCCCCCTTCTCCACCTCCCTCATTGGGCCCTGCCTCGCAGGGCCCGCCCGCCCCCTGGTCCCATTGGCCTTCGTGTCGGAAATACTGACATCATTCTTCTCCACTTCTATGGAAACTGAGACTCGGCGCCGAGGGTGCTCACGGGAAACGCTGTTCTTACTCCCTGCTCGCAGCATTTCCGCCTCACAGCGCTGCGCGGCTTAGAGGACTACAACTCCCAGAGTACATCGCAAGAGGGGGGGCGGGGCCATCCAGTGAATGCTAACTAGCCATGGGGCGGGGCCTGCGCGTGCGCGGGGGGCGCTCGGTGGCGCATTTTCCCCCCAGGAGGGGAAGGTGGCGCCCGGCGGGGCGGAAGGAAGGAGGGGGGCGGCGCTCCTGCTTTGGGCTCTGCCGCCACCAGCGCCGCCACTCCCGGAGCGGCGGCTGCTCGGAGGCGCGGCTCCGGCGGAGGACGCGGCGAGGGGAGGTGAGGTCGCCTGCCCTGTTAACTGGTTGTGGCTGGGGGGAGCGCTGGCATATGGGTGGCGGAGAGAGAGGGAGCACCCCGCTTGGAGGGGCTGATCCGAGCCCGGCTGCGGGGGAGCGGGTCCTGGGGCCGCCCCGCCTCGCCCAGGAGGGGTTGTACGCTGCCCGGGAAGGGGCCGGGGAAAGGGGGCCGCCGGTAGTTCTGGGTGGTGCCGGGGGCCGCCGGAGTGACTGACAGAGCGCTCTGGGGCCGGGGCTCCGCTGGGCTGGCGGCGGGCGGTGCTTCCCGGCCCTGGTGGCTGAGCCCGACAGCGCCGGTCAGAAAATGGGGGGGACGGCGGGCGGGGGGAGCGATGCGTCCTCGACTCTCGATCTCCTAAAATGGCGCTGAAGAGCTGGGCCTGCTTGTCCTGGAGTTACGGAGGCAGCTGAGAAGGCTGTGCCTGTCGCGTTGAACTCCGAAAAAAATGAACCTTATTTCCCTCGGTCTGGCTGTGGCGGGAGTTTGGCAGCTGCAGACAGGGCGGCAGCAACTTCGTGTTCTCTGTGAATTGTGAGTTTTAAGCGCGATACGCAGCGCTCGAGCTGCGGTCGCGCGTTTTGCCGACTCATGTTCTGTGTTCGGGTCAGCCCGCAGCTCAGAGACCCCGGCCCCGTCTGCCTGCTGGGACTTCGGCCGCCCAGGTATTGTTGTCCAGCTTCTGCGGCGTTCGTGCTCAGTTTTTCCTGGAAATCCCATTAAAATGAGCCATGATCCCAGGAGTAGCATGCTCATGCCGTTCTTGCGTTAGTGTTGGAGTGGCGGCTATGGAAAGTTATTGTTTACTTAGCTTCATCTTCGAGGAAAATGTGTCGTCTGTGACTGCCCTTCCACCTGTGGGAAGCTTGCCTGCCTGCAGCTTGAATGCGAAGTGTTGTTCGGTGTCAGTCTAGGAGGGGTTATAAACACGACTCTGCTAATTAGAATGGTAATGTGGACTGGTGTCCCAGTTGCATTTGGATTAAGACTTCTGGTAGTCTCTGTTTAAAACAATACATATTCACTATGTTTTCTGTGTATTCCTTTTGAAACTCCTTCTCACTCCTACCTACTCCTCCTATCTGGTGCTTCTTCCCCCCAGTGTTTACAACGAAGTTAGTGCCTCAGTGCACTGAGTTCTGTGATGGAGCTGTTTTGAGAACTTTCTGAATGGTTCATCTTATACTGCAGCTCTTTGTTATTTTATATATATTTGTCTTTTATTTTCTCTGTAATTGCACTTTGACTGCAGCCCCTGAAATTATGATACTTCTTAAAATACCATCTATTTAGACTGGATTATTTCAGACCATTATACTCCCTCTATTTGGGAGGGGAAGAAGGTTCTGCAGAGTGGGATGAAACAGGATAGTGTGAGAACCTGTTTTGCAAAAATCCAAAGGGAAACTTTTTTCTTGACACTTGACCTAGAATTAATTATCATTGCTCATCAACTTTCATCCTGTCTAGAAAGGTCCTAGACACAGATCACAGCTTCAAGTATAGCTTTAGAGTAGTTCCACATCATGGAGGCCCATGTCACCATCTTATGTTTGTCATGTGTGTTTTCAAAGAGGTCATCGGAGATAAGGTTTGATGCAGTCCAAAAGGCAGCTGTGTGGGGCTCTCCGTTGTGTGTGGCTGTTGTTTATGCCTTTGTGAAGATACTGAGAAATAACTGGAAAATTAACTTTGTCATGCATATGAATTGAAATGCAGCAAGTTTGCGTGCTGGTTTAAAAGGTAAAATGGCCTTAACTGCTTTAATCCTATGAATAAGCATCGATATAATAAATTCTTGCACTTTCACTAACAAAAGGCTTTGCGTTCTCTTTCATTTATTGTTTAACTGCTGGCTTTTACCTTTTCTTGGGAGATGGTGACTTGAGATCTTGTGTCTAAATCACTGAGAAGTCTTTCTCGGTGCAACAGTGTAACTTCCGTAACAAATCGGTCAGTCACCTCGGCAGGAAACCCTTAAGATCAAGCATTTCCCAAGTGTGCCGTGTGTGATAATTTTGTGCAAAGAGCAGTAATATTACACATCTGATATCATGGTATTTTTGCTTAGAGGCTTTTGTAACGGATTTCATTTACACATATCTTTATCAAGTGTCCCATTCTATGTATAAGTTTGGGGGAGGTTCTGTTCACTGTTTATGTGCCAGTGAGTGTGTTAAGTGTGTAGCTGTCTGATGAATAATCAGACTTTTTTTTTTCCTTTGGTGGGGATTTACCTAAAATTTCATTTAATGGTAGAATAGTAGTATAGAAAATTCTAATTATATTGGTTTGAGATGAGTTACTTTTGCTCATTAGATCTTTTTTTGCCTGGCAAGAACTTTTATAGGACAGCACTTTCAATCCTAACATCTCAGCCTAGCTGGATAGCTGTGCACTTTCAATTCTGTCACTGGCTTGTTGACAAATAATAGTCACAGGGGAGTTGTTAGGTTGATAGTATATCCTTACATCTATCTCTACTAGATTCTTTCTGCTTAAAACATCTGGGGGTAGACTCTGAAAATCTTTGATTTTACCTCCTCACTGAAGTCCTTTGAGACTTTATATGTAAGGGTATAGTTTGACAGCTAACTCTCAGTGGCAGTACTGGTTGAAAGCACTTCAGTTACAACAACAAGCTGGCAACAAAGTAAGGAGTCAAAGGTGTCAAATCTGATTTTGATTAGTGTGTGGCCTGACGGTAATTGTGCTGGCACATCGTGGATAGGATGGAAAGGCTGTACTTATACAACATCACTGCCAAGAAACTATGCAAAGCTTTCCAAAAGGTGTAGTCTTATGAGCATTTTGTTGACAGCTGTATTTGGTTAAATAGCCTTTCTTGCCCTTGAAGTGCCAGTACATTTGATGAACATGCACTGTGAAGCAAATAAAGGAATTGAACTAAACCTAAACTGGGAAAATACTTATTAACACAGATCAGTTCCCCAAGTTACAGAAGCTTGTGGGTGTGGAAGTTGGGAATGGGAATAGACGGGAACTGATTGAGCTATATTCTCCTAGCTTCTTGTGCACCTGCACCCAGACAGAACTTGGGAAACTGGAAAGTCCTTCACTTAAAATGAGCATTACTTACTTCATTACATTACTTCAGCAAAAGCTGAAACATTACTGTGTTCTCAACAGTATTCTCATACCAAGTCCAAAACACAGCACTGTACCAGCTACTAGGAAGAAAATTAGCTCTATTCTAGCCAAAATCAGGACATTAATTTACGTAACTATTCACTTGCTTTAGGAGGAAAGAAATAAATCCTTTGCTGGATTCTAGTGAAGTACGTGAGAAGTGATGCTGAAGTAGCATGAGACTTTATGCTACTGCTGCTGTTTCTGTCTTAAAACTACATGAGAAGAATTGTTTTGAGTTGCTGCATCTGCAGTGCAGCAAGGAAGGCTAGAGGTGAAAGGATAGCAAATCTATCACAGAAAACAGTTGGAAAAAAAAATGCAGATGGAGATGACAAAAGTATGTGAATTGAGGCTAATCAATAGAAAATTGTTGAGTTCTGTAGGCCCTGGATCCTAAAAGATTATTCATAACAGTCTGTTATATTTATGGTATATGGGAAAGTGTGTAGAGCTGTCTGAATGCTTTAACAGTGGTAGGAAAATGGTATATTTCTATTTTGACTTACAACAAAAGATGGAAGAATTGTATCAAAAGACTGAATTTAGTATTTACTTCTTTAGGTTGCCTTGATCTGAGGTGTATTTTCTGCTCATGACATTTCCAGTTTTGGAATGTCTAATGTAAGGAGAAAACATTTAGAGAGATCTAATCAGATCAGCCATGTGGGGTTTTGTATGAGCTTTTTTGAAGATTTGCAGTGGACCCTCATTGTTTTGAATGGTAAAGTTTTAAATACTTCATCACCTAAGCAATCTAGTACATACAAAAAAGTAAACAAAGTCTAGGAGTTTGCTTAAACTTCATGAATAATTAAAGAAAACTGTATTTAGCAGGTATTTTATGTGTTTCCTTAGTAAATGACATCTGGAAACCTTTCATATACTGAAGGTGTCATGTGCAAAATTGGAATATTTGCACCTAACCTGTAAGTCAGCTCTTTAGTTGTATGCATCTACTGTTTACTTGCATATTTTTTAATCTAAATAGTGTTAATAACACTTTCTTTAACAGTGAATTACGTCTTAGGAAATAAAGAAATGGATGGGATGGATGAAACATCTAAAAGAATCCTAGAGCCATACCAGTATTTGCTTCAACTACCAGGCAAGTTTCTTTGTACTGTGTTGTTTTAAGTATCAAAATTGGTTTTATAGCAACTTTTATCTTGGGAAGTATAAGCCAAGAAGTTTTCCATTCTTGATTTGTGTATTTAAGAATAATAAAAGGTAACACTTTACAGAGTTTCACTTTTACTTGTTCTTTTCTTCCTCTTACGGAACCACCTTTTTTTGTGAAATTGGTACAATAGCTCTTGTGTCTGTAGTAATATTGCCATATTTATATTGCAGTTGTAGTAACTAATGTTGCAGTTACTCTGTTCTCCAGAATAGCTGACTTACTGCTTTTAAAAACTGATCAGGGCAATTACTGAAAACTTCATCCTGGTTTTAAACTCAGGGCTAACAGTGCTTTGTTCCTTAGTTGCTTGCTGTACTAAAATCAGTGGATTGTAGGGTTCTTTTTGTTTGGTTTTCTTTGGGGTTTTTTGGTTTTTGTGTTTTGTTTTGGTTTTCTTGGCCCGTTCCTCTCGTGTAATTTATTCTCCTTGGTGTGTGTAAAGACAGGTGCTCTTATGGCCAATTTCAGCTGTCCATATTTATGGATTATTTCACCTGTCAGAGGTTCAGGCAGTCCTTGTGTAGTACCAGGTCACCAGCAATACATTCACATGAAGTTTTTCAGTCTTGAACAGTATAGTAGAATTCAGGAGGCAGTTTGGAAGCAAACTACTGTATTTATATGCCCCTTGGAAGCCTCTTTGACTAAACAATCAGATTGCTGTGACTTTTGTTTGTACACCTAAAGTATAAGACTATCAAAGTGAGTAGTTTTGTAAAAATAATAGTGGAACAACTTTGTCATTGGAACTACTGCATAATTGCCTGGTTGCCCTCTGTCCAGGTTATATTGCATGCTGAAGGAGTTAAGAAAGATACGAAATTTGGGTAGATATTAAGGAAATATTTTTGATCAAAATTATATCTGACCAGGGTAGAAGACCTTCTGCCTAGAGAAGTAGCATTATATCGCAGGCAGAGTACTAAGTGGCTTTTGCACATCTACAACAAGAGCTGTATATCAGTAGGGTGGGTCCTCTGAGTCTTAATTCATTATACCTGTGTATAATGAACTTCATTATTAACCTCTACAAAATATCCAGGATTTTCTTGCCAACATTAGTGATTTCATTTAACTTGGCAGTTAGCACCCGAGTTGAAAACTAAGAAAAGGGAAGAATTTGGCAGTTGTGCACCTTTTTAATGCCAGAAGGCTTGTTTCCCATTTCCTCATGTGTATTCCTTTTGGCTATATTGAACTGGATGGTGGTCTTTCTTGAGAACTACCTTGAGAACGAGTCTGTGATAGTACAGAGAGCTTTCTAAGCCCTGGTCCTGAAGAAATTTGCTTTCCTCAAACATCATCTTTAAGTCTACTTTTTATTTGATTAGATTATCTCATTACCAAGGAATGTTGTAACACTTCTGCAGATTTAGCTGCTAATTGTTTTTGAAGCTATTGTAGATAACAGGAAGAAAAGCTCCTCTTCTTAGTAGGAAATAAACAACCCCCAAAAAGTGCCCAAAAAAACTTCTATGGGCAAAAGTGCTTGACTAATAGCTCTTCAGTTCCTTCCACTTTAAATCATGCATCTAGAATATATGTTTAACCTTCTCACCTTGATTCCTGTGGCTAAATTCCTTTACTTTGTGGGTTCAACTGTAATAACTCTGTATTGTGGCTTAAGTAACACTACACTCACTGGCAGTACAGGTGTTTTATATCCTGTCCTGCTAAAGTATCATAAATCTGATAGTCCACTTTACCATGTTGACTTCTTGTTAATTTATGTATGTTTTGGGGAAGGTGAGAGACAAGATACACTGGTCTCTTTAGAGCAGTAGCGGTGTGATTCAAAAGAGAACTTCTCTTCAGCTAGACAGGTGAAAGTGGTGTACCTGTGGGAAGCTTATACTGAGTAACAGGTGGAGCAGTGAAAGTTCACAATCATAAATAAACCATGTTTACTGTGTTTGAAACACTGGCTTTGCCTAAGGTCAGCTATGCCAAGTGCAGATGAGTAGGAGCCAGTTTACATGTGTAAGTCTTGAAGTCAGTATTAGTACTCACAGTACCAGTGCTCGGTAAGGGTAGGAAAAATGGGCTTATAGATGCTGTTGCTGCCTAGAGTGAAGCTCAAATGAGATGCCTGAGCTAATCTAACAGGCTCTTGTTGAAAGGCAGTTTCATTCCATCCTCTTAGCTTCTGGCAGTATTTTCCTGCTGCTTAACTTGTACCGGTTCTCAGGTTGCTAATCAAATTATTAGGTAGTATCAATCACCTAACCTGTTAAAAACTTGCCTGGTTAATCTCTTGTCTTGTTAGTGAGCAGGCATAACATTAGGGACAAGAAGCTGTTTCTCTGTTGGATCAGTTTGAGCTCTGAGGGGCTTTGCAGAAGGCTTGGCTGCGTGTCAAATATGTACACTATGGCTCTACAGTAGTCCAGTTCCTTATCTTGTAAGACTAGTTAAACTCTTCAAGCAGTTTAGTAAACTATGGTTGAATGACTTTACGTACATATCAAAGTTTGTTTGCATAAAAAGAGATTGTATAACTGTATTAAGGTGTGTAGCAGGGAATGGGAAAAGCCTGCAAATGCTGTCAGTAGTGTAAGAACACAAATTTTTATAACTGCTAAGGATTTATTCCTCAGTACAGGAAATGGATTACTTAGCTTTCCTTTGCTGAAATAAGATTTTTAATGCTGTCTTAGGGTGATACTTAAAGTAACCTTGTGTATTTCTTTGACTTCAAACAGTGCTAGGATAGGGAAACAACTAGGCTTAAGGTATTTTTAGTATGGTGCTGTTTTAACTGCTAGTATAGTAATTAATGTTCAGTCTGGTAATTAATGTTTATTCCTTCTTGAGCAGAAATTATTGCTTGAGAGAAGAACATAGATTCTGAAACAGTAACTTTTCTTGTAAAATCTCATTGTAGTGGAACATTGCTGTACTAGTTTTTAGCGATGTTCTGCTTAATCTAGTATTCTGTCACTTTGTATCATAAAGTGCAGGACTGACTTTCGTAGATTGTTGTGGTTTGTCTCAAAAATGGTTTGATTCACACATGGTAAATCTTTTATTTTTGAGAGTCTGAGTTAACAGCAGTACCTGATTTTGCAGCACTAAGGAGTTTATGGAATTTCAGTTGTCATACAACTGATATAGTTAGTAGCTTGCTGTTGAAAGGGGCAGATTCTGATTGCATTCATGACTATGCATCTTCCCATTCTTGTCCTGCTGGTTTTGGCTGCAATCTTTCCTGGTCTTGTTTAGCAAGCTAAAACAGTCAAGACTGGCTTGATTGTTTAGCTTTTTCTGCTGGGTTATTGAACTTGATCAGCCTGGTGAAGGAGTTAAGCATCACAGGCCCTGAACCCTACCACTGGTATAACTACATTTGGCACATCCAAGGCTTCCACTTGATCCAAGTTCCTGAAAGAGGCTGCACCTCTCTAGATTGTGAGCTGCAGGGATGCATGGGGGCACCCACTAGCCAGGAGCAAGTGATGTCCCTGCTCCTAAAGGTATGTAGTTGTTGAAAACCTGTGTCACCAAGCAAAGGAATGGTGGAAAGGGGGTCAGCAGGCTTGCACAGCATCAGAAATAACAAAAATTACAAGACTCTACAGATTCAAGAATCTGAAACCTCCAAGTATATTGACCAGGGCGGGGGGAGCGGGGGCGAGGGGCAGAAATAGTCTGTGCATATCAGGGTGGGAGATGGATACTCCTGCAGTGGTGGAGGCTGGTGGCCTCTGACACCAGGAGAGAGATTCCAGTTCCTTGAGCAGATGTGCAATTGCCAAGTAGGTTCAGTGTACTGAATGGCTGGAAGCTCTTTATAGGCCTTTTGTAACCTAAATGATTCTATGGTTTTATACAACTAAACATTAGAACAGCGCCTGGGGCAGCAACAAGTGGTGAGATTGAGCAGATAGTGGCAGAACTGACTCCTGTAGGGAATAGAGGCTTCCACATGTGGTTTTGTGTTAGGGAGGTTTGCTGCTTCTGAATACCCCAATAGGGATGTGAAGGAGGGACTGCCAAGGTGTGTTTCACCTTTAAAATACTTAACCTTACAGCTGTTCTACTTGAACACTAATGGATATAGCAAGGAGGTGCCTGAAGCTTATCAAGCAAGACTGGCCTTTGGAATGAGGGCTAAGGGCACAGGAAGCCAGGTGGATCTTCTCTGTGATCCTCAGCCCCCTTCTCACCATCAGGAGGAATAAACAAATAACAGCAAGTTTGTTCCACAGCACATTCTGATAGCAGAGCTTTGGCTCTTCCGGCCTTGAGACCATCTTTGCAGAGCAAGAACTACCAGGAGGAAGTGTATAGGCTGATTTGAACAAGACAGTAAGAATCTACAGATGAGATCTAAAGGCAAATCATCCCAGCACTCCAACAAGGAAGTACGAACAGAACTTGATAGGGGAAGCTCTTGCTTTTTCTGGGTATCTGCAGGTTTGGGTGCTTCTCTGAAGTGCCTTTATACAGATATTGGGAGTAAAAGGGAGGAGGTAGTTTGGCATGCAACTGCAGGACAACAATTCTATTGTTGTGTAAACACACAGCTAGAGTGCTGCAATGGATGGATGTGGATGGCCTAGGAAGACAATCTGGGGTAGGAAGGAATGGAAGTTGCATTTTATGTGAAAGAGCAGTTGAATTGCATGGAGTTCTGCCTTCAGTCAGATGAGCCTTTTGAGAGCTTAAGGGTTAAGTAGGATCCAAGGGCAGATCAATAGGGGTGACATTATAGTGGGTGTTTGCTACAGACCCCCTAAGCAGGAAGAAGCAGATGAGAGCTTCAGACAACTGCAAAATGCTTCGTATTTGCAGGTGCTGATTCTTATGAGAGACTTCATTTACCTCACAGTGTGGTAGAAGAAGCATCACAGCAGGACACAGGCAGTCCAGGAGGTTTCTGGAATGAATTGATGACCTTTTGCTAACACAGGTGATCAAGGAGTGGATATAGGAAGGCATTATGCTGGACTTCCACTTAAAAAAAAAAAGAAGAATTGGTTAGGACATTAAGACTGGAAGCAACCTTAGTTGCAGTGACCATGGGATAGTGATATTCAGGATTGTGAGAAGGAACAAGGCAAAACTCAGGATCACAACCCTGGACTAGTTAACCCTATTTTGAGCAGAGGAGTTCTGCTAGAGCATTCTACCAGTGACCTTAATCAGGCACAAGTGCCTGCACAGGTTAAAAGTGTATGTGCTCGCTCTCTTGCTTCTCTTCCTGCAGTTCACTTATGCTGTTTGTAGTGTTCTTGCAGCTGCTTGGAGAGGTCTGCTTGGGGCTTCATCCATTTAGTTTTAATCCATCAGAGGATGCAGCTAAACGTGCAAGTGTACAGTCAGCTGAGGTAACACAAGAGCTTTCTTCCTCCAGAAGGGCAATGCCCCTTCCCCTGATACTCAGCATCTCCTGCTCACCCTGTACTGGTTGTGGCAGATCTGCTGCATAAGCTGACTCAGTACATACAGCTGGCAGAAAGCGAATGTAGCAAAAAGCTGTGTTCTCTGCTGGGCTAATGAGTTGAATTAGCTGTAATGGGGGCTAGGTTAATAGTGCCTCTGCTCTTTCCCATGCTGTTCTAGCCTTTCATGTACCCTCGCTGTAAGTGGGGTGCTGCCTTAAGGGCATAATTTGTGGTTACCTTAATATACAGCAAGAGTGAAGCAATACTAGCCAGGAGCCTGTCCAGAATGGGGGTCTGTAGTTTTTCAGTCTGTGCCCTGTCACAAGAGCAAGTGTGTATATAAAGAGTAAGTTGGCTGATTTTTTTTCTTTTTCTTTCCTTTAGATGAGAAGTTTCTCATCTGAAGAGAAGACGGGAATGTCCTCAGTACAGCATCTTTAATCTAGCTGATATTTGTTTTGAGGCTAAAGCTTTAACATTCTTAGCTGTAGAAAGAATTTCTGACTATTTTTATCACCTATTCCATGCAGCATTACTAAGGAGAAAAGCTTTCCATAGTTTTTGTTTGATTTGGGTAATAATTTGGGATCTTAATTTGGGATCAGGTTAAACCAAATGCATTTACAAGAGCTTTGATAAAAGCTTGGTGCAGTAATGTCTGTTATTATAGCTCTATACAGTAGGTAGAGCTTCTAATTTTGGATGTTAGCCCTCTATTCTTCAATTTTACAATAGCCTGCTTAGAATAATTAACAGAGTGGTGAAATATGACAGTGAAGAAACTGGATAATTCTGGCAGTGCTCCTTTTAGTTTTGTTCTAGTGTCCCTGTATTGTTGTCTTGTCTAATTTGGGGAGAGGAGCGGTGTGGCAAGGAATGGACTTTTCTGCATCCAGGCTTTACAGACTGGTATTGGAGGGGTTTGGTCTTTTGCCGTCACAATATGTCTGCAGGCATAAATTGTGCATAAAGATTGCTGTACTATTACATAGACCAGGTAAGATTGACTTCAGAGTCAGGTAGAATGGCATTTACGTAGTAATAATGTTCCTTTAGAAGACAAGCAAATCTGCATCTATAAAAGGAAAGATAAATGTCTCACTATACAGGTAGGTTTTTTTTTCCTTGAATAGCCAGTGTCTAGGAAGCCTTGCTAGTCAGGGTAGACAAGTCTAACAATTCAAATGCTGTCTGTACTAAGGAACTGAAGTGGCTTAATTCTTTGTGCATGTTATAATCCATTTAGAGTGCATGCTAGCAGTCAAGTTCCTCATGATGAAATAATGCTTGTTGCTGAACATTCAGCATTCTTTAAGTGTATTTTCTAGGAAGCACATTCAGAAAAACAGAATTAGCTGCCTAGTATAAAAAAGAAGGCAGGTGTTGTCTGCATCCAAATAATTTAGAAGACAATAAACAGCTGTAGATAAGGTACAATTCCCTAATGTAATATTATCTGAGTGATTTTCTTTATGAATCTGGTGAAATACTTCTTAATCCTTGACTGGTAAACCATACAGTTTGGCAGATATTTGTAACAGTTATTGTCAAGGAGACACAAAACAATCCTTTCCTTCTGCAGAAAACTGTTAGTGTCTAAAACTGAGCACAGAAAACAGAAATGGAGAAAAGCCAATGGCAGTGTATGTCCAGGTAAGAATGCCTGTTCACATGTGGCAGAAGCAGAGGATAGAGCTGCTGGGGGGAAGAAGAGGAACATTTTGTTAATCTTGTTTAGTGAAAACCAAAATACGATGGTGACAGGAAGCAATGGAAATCATTGAGAAATGAGACCAAGGCTGCAGACCTCTGGTCCAGGGAGGAGGGTTATCACCCTTGCTACAGAGCCCAACTCACAAAGCTATTGCTTACCTGGGGGTGACTTAATTAAAAGGGGAAAAATTCTCAGTGCACTTTCTCCAGGGTCTGTCACTGCAAGTGAATTTACCCATACTTATTATTCTGTTCTATATATGCTGGTTGCACAGTCATAGAGAAGCCTTAGGGGGAGATTCAAATGTTGACATTTCTTTGGTGCTATGGGCAAGATGGAATTATCAACATGAGGTCTAGTATTGCAGAATATCTCAAGTTACGTCTCAGTACATCTTGAGTCAAGTAATGTGGGTTCCATGGGTGTCAATGCTGCACTGATTTGAAGTTTATTTAAAGCTTTTTCCAAATGCTTGTCTATATGAGCTATATATATGGAGCTGTTTTTGTAAACCTGTCTTGCAGCTATTCCAAGCTGAGCTTCTCAAAGTTCAGAGCAGAATTGTCTCAGTGTGGATAGGGGATGACTGTTTCATATTGAACATGACTAGATGCTGAATGGATATTTGTACATGGAAACTAGCAAATTTCTGAAGAAAATTGACATCAGCAATGTATAGGTATAAGGTTAACTTCTATTGAAATTCACTCTGTCATTTAGAAAGTATCTGTATTGAACAGAAAGAACTTGTTTTAACACTAAACTTGGTCATTTGATGTTGTCTTTCATTCCTATGAAACAGGGTGACTGCCTGGCTCCAACAAAGTAGATTTTACCAAAGCACACCAAATCCTATTTGTGGGTAGATTTCTTGAGTACAATAAAAGTATCTGAATTCTTGGAAAGTTCTATTCTATTCAAAATGTTCTGTTCAGACTTTTGTTTAGAGTTATTTAGTAAGTGTATGAAATGTCACTTTCCTGCTTGACAGATTTACAGTAGCAAGTGAAGAATAATACTACAGGAGAAAGACCTAAAAATTGAGATAAATATATATTCAACAAATAGCCATACTTTCAACTAATAATGAATCACAGTTAAAACTTTTTAGTCTTAAAATTAACATGCCTTGCAAACTAGCTGATCTGTACAGGATACTAACATGGTCAGGACCCCTTACTAATTAAATTGTAAAAATTAAGTATAGTAACCCGTACATTTGTGCTTTACATATTCATGTGAAGTGTTTAAAACTGAAACTGCTAATTGATGTTTATTCAATGAGAAAACAAGCCATGCACTGATACATTTTCCACTTTTGTGTTGTCACACTAATCAGTTTTTATTATTGGGTCTCAAATCAGCTATAGTTGTTGAGACAAACTGTTGTGCCTAATAATGAACTCTGTTATTTTTATAAATACCTATAATATTTTTATTGTAGGTAAGCAAGTGAGAACCAAACTGTCACAGGCCTTTAATCACTGGCTGAATGTTCCGGAAGATAAAATACAGGTACTGGCTAATTGTTTTTAAAAGGTTTTTATCTTTCTTCCAAGACCACTGGTAACAGATGATTCTCTTACATAGCATAAATTAGCAGATATCTTAAATGCACTAATTTCTGAATATAAAGTGAACTTCCATGAAAACAACTTCAATGCAAAGCTTTTACTGTGATGCAACACTAAAGAAATTGCTTCCATGTCTTACTAGAATAGTTACATCTTTCCAACTGTGTTCAACCTTTGAAGCTGTAGATAAGCAGCTATCATTGTTACCGACTTAATGTAACTGTTATTAACACTGAGTTTTTAATGATTTACAAAAAAAGCTAGACAGTTACCTTGTAGACTTCACAAATACAGTGTTTGAAAATAAAATCTTGAGATTTTGATACAAGAATATTAAAGAAAGAAATTAAATCAACATTACAAACCTAAAACTGAGAGGGACAGATCATAGAGTCTGCAGTCCTTACTTTCTAATGAGACGCATTATCTAGGAATTCTCATTCCTTTTTCTCTTGGACAAATTGTGCAAGATGCATGGCTGTGTATTTAAACACTGTGGCTTTTCAAATGAAAAATCATTCTCCTTTTTAGGTTAGACTGCAGTTTTGCTAAACTGCATACAGAGTGTGCAAAATATTTTCTGTCCAAGGCAATGTAAGGAATTAATATAATTGGTTGTGCCTTTTGACACCCAGCTGCTCCTTTGTTAATTTCTTTAATTGTTGGCTGAAGTATCTTTGGAGCTTGTGAAGGAGTCATTTTTAGGGTAGCTTAAGAGTGACACTTCATAGCTCTCAAGTAGCAAAGTGATTTAAGTGGTTTAAGAGACTGCATTTCATAAGAAGCTTCATTCCATCTAGGAACTGTTCTATATTTCAGCCTGTCTGTGTCACTGTCTAGAAAAATTTATTCTGTCTTTCAGCTAGACATGTCTTATCCTTTGTGCTCAGACAAACATCCAACTAAAACATATAATATAGCAACCTGTGCATTGTATGTGTGGGTTTAATCTAATATCACAGATCAGAATTCAGATTGAAAGAAGCCTCTGGAAGTTATCTAGGACAACCCTGTACTTAAAGCAGAGATTGCTCTGTAGCTACTTTAGGCTTCTGGGAGCACTGTTCAGTTTTGAAAATGTGGTGATGGGGTTTCTGCAGCTTCCCAGGGCGTCTTCTCATGCTGAACCCCTTTGATTATAACAAACCCTTCCCTTCTGTTCAACTAGGATTTTTTTATGTTGCAATCTGACTTTTTTTATGTTGCCTGCTGCCCTTTTGCTGGGCACCCATGACAGTGTGGTCCATTTTTCCACAGCACTATAGTAAACTAAAGCTGCAGTGCCTCTGTGTGAACAGAAATTACCAGTTCTGTCACTTTAAACTGATGATCATGTAACTGCTATTGAAAACTTGGACCACTTGTTTTGATTATCCTGATGAAGAAAACCAATACTTTAATGTCTGGCAGGAAATAAACAAGACCATGTCATCTTTTACTCTTCATCATGATGCAATTATTACAGCTTCTGTGCATTTTTGCTGATTTTAATAACTGAAGATGGTTGAAGTCTGGAGGACCACATCTGGTCATCTTTTTGACATCTTTCATAATCTTCATAAGATGTCTCCTGTGTCTAGCAGCCTGATTAATTTCCAGCTATTTGTATTTCTTCTTTTAAAAATCAGAATTCTGGCACTCATTCTGGAACTCTTTTTTCTTACCTTAGATTATTTGTTATTTTAGATGATACATTTGAGGCTACTGTTCCTTGGTGCTTTATTCTACCGTTAACTGCCACTGTATCACCTTTTGCACCAACCAAGTGATCTCTTTTCCCAACACTTACTGAATTTCTAGTTCCCTTTTGGTGCTGCACTGAGACACTTCAACTTCTTGAATTAGCGAAGAGGTCCCTGGGTTTGTCAGGTGAACTTTTTTCTGAGAAGGCACTGAAATGGCCTAGCAAGAGTCAAGCAAATTTTAAAGCTATTGCAGATAAGTAGTGGAATAAACCTGTGTGTTGGACTAATAATGCAACAGATACTGATTAGATAGACGTAGGTTGTAAGAAAACATAGCACTCTGTACTGGGTCTTCAGCTTTCATTGTGGAGACCACTGTTTTTATTTTCTCAGTCTACTTCCTGATGTTTTCTAAAATCATGTTTTTCCAATATCTGAACTGTTTTAAGTCCTGTCCTTCACCTTTGAAGCACTTTTGACACTGTCTTAAGTTCTCAAGGTAATTTGATAGAAGCACAGAGTCAGGAGACACTGTTTTCTTTAAACCATAAATATGGAAGTTCCAAGAGGTCATGAAACTGACAGTGATGTGAAAAACAGAAATACTAGAATAAGCTTATCCAGTGAATTCACAGAACACAGGGAAATGTTCCTGATAGTACTGAGAATGAGATAATTGACCAAAATTATATTTAAACAAGTAGGTGTGTAAAGTTGCCTTCAGTAAGTATTCTATCCTGTGATTTCTTGAGTGGTTAAGTAGGTTGTTCTTGCAGTCATATCTTGGGAAAGGTATTAAATTGCTGGGGTTTGAGTTTTAATCTTTGGGACAATGTTCACTGAACGCCAGGTGGCTTGGTTCTCAAGAAAATGCTTACAGCAAAGTCCTTATTTTGTCCTACAGCACCCACCAAATAAGACAAGACTAGATATTTGCTGCCATTTTATGGTGGTCTTAGTATTTTTTAACAGTTGTTTTGATGAATGTTGACTGAATGCAATGTTTGTAGCTAAAGAGTATAATTGGTTCATTAGCGTTAAAATCATATCTTAATCAGATGTGTTTTGCAGTGAGTTTATACAGTATGCAGTTTTACGTGCTTAAATTTATTTCCATTTAAGCAGCTGCTGAATATACCTGTTGTTTGCGTGGCAGCTGTGGAATAAAAGCAGTGTATAGTGTTAAGACTCTTCATTTTTTGTTGAGTTGTTAAGGCTCTGTTCTCAAATGTAGTCAGCAGCAAGCCTAATGTTGTGAATGGTTTGTTGCACACTTGAGGTGATGTGTGATATTGGTCTACCTAGTAACAAGCAGTGTGTAGGAAACTTCTCAAAAGAAATTGTGGCTGCTGTCTTCCTGCCAAGAATTTTCCAAATGATGTTTCAGAGGGAATAGTCTGTCCTTTAAGAGCTCAGTATTGAATATAACCACACAAAGTGTGGGTAAAGAAGGATGAACTCTCCACTTACCAAAACACAGTTCACAAGAGAAATGTGATAATGGATGATACCTGACACTCTCAAGAACTGACTTTGGGAGGTTTCAGGTTTGTAAATCTAAACATTTCAAAACATTGTGTTTATTTTGTTTTCCCCTAGTCATGTTTCAAATAAGTTATTTCATGACTCCTAGACAATGGCTTGTTTTGAACTGTAGCAACAGTGAAGAGGGGTATGCAAGTAGAAGCACTTCAGGGAGTAAGTTAACTTTGAATCTGAAAACAAGACTATGTGATCCAGGACTTACAGCACGCTGGATAGTGAAAAGAAGCGTAAATCTATACTAACAGTAAAAGCAATTTATCTGAAGAGGAACCTCAGTGATAGTGTATATGGTTCTTTAAAACATTATCCATTTTAAATACAGTCTTGCAAAACTCATGGTTGAATTATAGTGACAGATTTAACAATTTTCTCTTCTTGCAATAGGTTATCATTGAAGTGACAGAGATGTTGCACAATGCAAGCCTACTTGTGGATGATATTGAAGATAACTCAAAGCTACGACGGGGCTTTCCAGTGGCACACAGTATCTATGGAATTCCATCTGTAATCAACTGTGCTAATTATGTTTATTTTCTTGGCTTAGAGAAGGTTTTAACCCTTGATCATCCAGATGCTGTTAAAGTTTTTACCCGTCAACTTCTGGAACTCCATAAAGGTCAAGGCTTGGATATTTACTGGAGGGATACTTACACCTGTCCTACAGAAGCTGAGTATAAAGCAATGGTACTGCAAAAGACAGGTGGTCTCTTTGGATTGGCTGTAGGCCTCATGCAGCTGTTCTCAAACTATAAAAAAGACTTAAAGCCCCTTCTTAACACCCTTGGTCTCTTCTTCCAAATAAGAGATGACTATGCCAACTTGCACTCCAAAGAATATAGTGAGAACAAGAGTTTTTGTGAAGACTTAACTGAGGGCAAGTTCTCATTCCCAACCATTCATGCAATTTGGTCAAGACCTGAAAGTACTCAGGTGCAAAACATTTTACGCCAAAGGACGGAGAACATAGATATAAAAAAATACTGTGTACATTACCTTGAAAATGTCGGTTCCTTTGAGTACACTCGGAATACATTGAAAGAGCTTGAATCTGAAGCCTATAAACAAATTGAATCGCTTGGGGGAAACCCTGAGCTTGTAGCACTAGTTCAGCAGCTGAGCAAAATGTTCAAAGAAACTGAAAGTTAAAAAATTAACTTCTGGGTGTGGATCAAAACTTTTGAAAATGGGAAAATAACCAGATGGAGAAGTGTGATAATCAGTTTGATGTAAAACTTTCTCTTGTAGCCATGTTACGGAAGTTACTGTTAAAAATAACTTGTCATTGAGTTTTGAAATATATACCCTATAATCTCTAAAGTCTTAACTGTAATTGCTTACAGTTGGTTTTGTTAAAACAGATCCGTAAAGCAGAACCATAACTAAAACTAGTTTTGAATGTAAATATAATAGTCTTTACACAATCACAGGCATTATTTCATGCCTAAAACTCTTGTGCCCCTAACCAGGCTCAAATAGTATTCTGGTTGAAATTCTGTGTTAAATCAGGTTGACATGTATGTATTGTCATTTTAAACAATGCTCTTGTAAACCAAAATCTCTGATAAAAAACAAAGGAAGGTACTTGCAACCACAATGCACATAAAATTGTTGTGTGATATTTCTAAGTGTGATTTGGGAGTGGAGGTGGATCAGTTTACTATGTCCTAGGGTGAATGTCCTATCCAGCTTCTGTGGATATTTTCAGGGGAATGTAAATTATGAAAGATATTATTTCATATGCAAATAAGACATGCTCAGTCTGAAATTGTGACTTCATAAAGATTCTGAAGTACCTTGTAGGAAAGACTTCATCACATCAGCAAAGTGTAAATTTGCTGCTGATTCCAGCTCTGCAGTGAGTAATTTTGGTCACCTGGTTTTAGATTTTGAAATTGTCAAACATTCTGTAGCCAAAAACTTAAATCTATGCATTAGAGTTCATATATGTACCTGTAAATAGCAACATAATGAGCTGCTATTAGAAATGGAACACCATAATTGGTGCAGGTCTCTTTAATCTCTGCTTGTAATTGAGGGGCTTCTCCAAGACTTTATTCATAATTAATATTTCATTACTGTACTGAATTGCTGTCTGGAGGCATGTTCTATATCTCTCCAAAGAGACAAGAGCTGTCATTTTTTTGTTAAAATGAAGAACAGTATCTTGTTTCACAAGTTACAATAACACTTCAGTTTTGCTAATTGCTTAAATAGAGCTTTAAAATTATAGACATACCAAAATAAAACTGGGACTGAGAGTAAGATTTAGGGGTGGGGCTGATAAGTAACAAAGTTCTCTGCTCATATATATGTATAAATATATATACATATATATAAATATGTAGAAAAATGTTAATAAAATGTTAGCAGAGATGTTTAGTTTTTTTCTTGCCTGGGCTAGCTTTAATCAAGTTCTGTTCCCTTGGTATTCACAGGTATATTAGGTTATGCTTTGGGGTAGCAAGGTAATGGTTTGGATCAAAGGTAAGACTGGTGCTATAAGCTGTGGTGTTAGCTCAAGCATACTCTGAAATGGATATAGAGGTAGTTGGCTTCTGATGTCTAAAGGATAGTTTTATGCAGGTGTTCATTTACTGTACCTGAAAAACAGGGATAGCTGTGATCTCAGCCCACTGAGAAAACTAACTGGAGAAGGTTGCTGTAATGTCTTCCCTGGCAGCCTTAATATCTTTCTGAAAGTGATCAAACATGACAAAATTGAGGATGACTGCTTTCAGTCTGAAATACTATGTAGTTAAGGATGTTAGCCTATCCCTTTTATCTTCATGCTGAGGAGAAATCTTTGTCTGATTAGACACAGAATAATAGGCTTTTCACTGAATGGACCTGGTTGCCAGGACTGATAGCTTAAAGTTGGTGAAAGGCATCTTTAATGTTAATGAAAGAGAATTGTAATTCCATTTTCATAACTTGCAGTGCTTAGTAAGCCTGTAAATTTTTAATGTGTTGTGTGAAAATTCTATCTGCAGCAAATTACATTTATTTTGTGCCATGTCTTGGGAGTTTCTAAGCACTGTTGCAGTTAATGTCAAATAGGGGAAAGCACTGAAAAGATTATTGTTGTCAGGAGAATCTCCTAGTCTTACTGTGAAATGTATCCTTGTGCTTGTTAGGATATTGTAACTGCAACACAATGCAAAGTGCACTTAGTGCCATTTCATTTCTGTTCTGTTGCTGGACGCAAACAGTTCTGTGTAATCAAACTTTCATAATGAAGTGGCTTTTCTTACTCTTTGTATGAAGTTTTTCTACCATCTGAGATTTCTGCTATGTCATGTCTCCTTTGTTTCATTCTGGCAATTCAGCCCAGCATTTATTCTATTTCTGTATCTTGTTAGCATGTGCCTTCATTAGGCATAGGAAAGTGGATGTTTTTCAGTTTCAGACCATTTAAGCTACAAATGGGTAAGAAGGGAAAAGTTTGTCCAGCTTTCTTTTCCTGGGTTACAAGAGGCCATGCAGCTCTGTCTTACACTTCTGCCTTCAAGGTGTTTGATGTCAGTATTCAAAGCATATGCTGGAGGTATGTCTGAGAAGGCCCACAAGTAGAGCATTGCTACTCTTCACTTTGGTTAGCATAAACAGGATTGTGAGAGCTTTTCTTGATGTATTTGCGAGTTGGAAGAGGCTGGGCTATTTCCCCTTCATCTGTTAAGGATGCTCTGGTAGAGCATCCTTAAGTACTAAATGCCAGTAGTAACGATGTCCCTTAGTCAAGGTAGATTTTATATTTGGTGTCATAAGATCAGTCTGTGCATTTTCATCAATATTCTCCAATGTTATCACTGGTACTGGCTCCTGAGGTTTAAGCAATGTTAGGGAAAAACCCTTCATTAAAGGAGCATGTGAGTTCTTGTGACTGCAGAATTAGTTGTGTAAATGCCCCTCTCTGTTGCTATGCCTCCCACAACACAGGGAATAGGGATTTTTCCTGATCCTCATTAGGATCAAGTTGCAAGTGGAGATGCCCATGGGGAAACCAAGCAGATGCTGGTTTCTATGTCAGTCCTTTTGAGTCAGACTCATTCCCCTTATGTCCCTACCATTGCCAACAAGTTCTACTTTGATCAGGTTATTAGTGCATTTCTTGGGGGTTTAGTTCTTGCAGTTCACATTAAGAGAAATGCATTCCTCACTACCTCCGTCTGTTTTTTGGTTGTGTGCTTGCTTGCATATAAATGAATGCTGTCACCTGTCTTAAAGTAGCCAGCCATTGGATGGGACATCTGCCTTGCTTTTGCATAGGCTTATGTTTCCCCATCAATTATGATGAAAATTGCATCATCTAAAGACCTTCCTTAGGAGATAGCTTTCTCCTCTCGTTTTGAACTCAGGCGATTCAGGTACCCACTCAGAGCAACTTTGTATGTATCAGCCAGTTGTTGATACAAACAACATAGAAATGTTAATGAGGAAGAAACTGTTGGCGTTTCTTTATGGTTCTGATTTTTTGTTAATTTTACTAATCTGGCTGCATGTGCTATGGAAATTTCCTATAGTAATGGCTGTTTTCCTCAGTTAGTAAAATGCTAGCAAGGTATAAAAATGTGAGATTTGTGAGGGGGTTTGCATTTCTCATGTAAAATTGGTTTGAACTTCAATATGCCTTTATCACTGAATTGGGTCAGGTTTTTATTCATGTGCAAGAGCCATATGGGCATCTGTTGCTCTTCTTTGTCCCATCTTAATCATTTTATATTTCAGGTTTGGTATTTACTATGTTCTTTGTATTATTTGCTCAGTACTTTCACTGTAATTCTTCTTTCAGCTATATTTCTATTCTGCTGTTAATACCAAGCACACATAATACCATCAAACTCGGTTTTGATCCTGTACAAACATAATAGTCTGAGTCTACTTTTGAAATGTTGAATCTTGGCTCATCATTCACCTTCAAAAAAGTAATCCAAGATTAATCCAAGATTTTCTGCAACCTCAAAATGCCTGAAACTTTTTTTCCGGGAAGGTAAAGCCTGTAACATTTTATATAACCATAAATTATTTTTGTCTCATGTAGCTTGAGCTGCTTTCCTTGCCCTACGTGCTTGCTTTCAGGATCCATTTTGCTTTGGTGGTAATGCCTGTTAGGTCTTTTTATGAATGGACTTAACTCACTAGCCCTGAGGGAGAGGAGTTAATTTTTCTCCAGGTTAATGAATTATCCCACTCAGCAAGAGCCTGATGAATGTCAGAGCTGGCAGGTGGACAAAGGCCAGGGAAAGGATTTGAGAGAGTAAGAAAACTTTTTTTTTCCTCCTGAGGCTGCCGCATGTAATTTCACCTTGTTTTACAGAATTTACTTGACTGTGTTAGGAAAAGCTAGAGTGCATGGTTAGTTTCTGAGTTTCCCTTCTTGCTTATCAAATACTGTGAGAGATACTTAAGTTAAAAATTATTTATTCTGATAATTATTTATGTAACTTGCATATATCAACTGAAGTTTTTGATTAAAGGTACATATATAACAGAGTACATTGTTTCATTATGGCATTTTTCTTTCTCTTAACAATTTTTCTGTCCTTGAAGTCAGGGAAACATAATCTGCCGTGTGCCTATTAGAGTTGATTGCTACCTCACATTAACATCCTTCCTGAATAAGTTTTATCATAGCTGAGCATCAGTGTTCAACCTTTTCTGCAGTACTTACTTTGAAATTACTTCAGAGGCACCTTGTTGAGGTGTGGCTAGGAATAATCCATGAATCATTAACTCACTTCAAGCATATAATCTGCAAAACTTCTAATAAAGATGCAAGTTAAACCACATTAACCCTGATAGTGTTCCTCACCTGTGTACCCTGTGGAAAAAGTAAGCTCTCAGTTAACCTCCTGAGAAGGTATTTACCGATCATCTCTGTTTAGTACAGCATAGAGAACCATGGGAGATACACCAAGAAGGCCTAAGATGACACTTCCAGGGAAAACACTGCAAAACCTGACATGAATTTGTGTATGACTAAATCTGAGGTGAAGGGAAATTATAGATAATTTTCTGCTTTTGAACTCCAGGAAAATGCTCTACTCATTGGTATATGAATTACATGCTGAAGGCTAAGCAGCTGCATCATCTCTTGGGCACATTAGGTCATTTTCACTCTCTTCATAATGTTTCAGTTGCTGTTTCTAGAGCATATAGTGTGAGCTACTTCATCACTCAGTAATTATGTCTGTAAAATGGCAAGTGCATACAATTTGTTTATGTATTTTGAAATACATAAAACCTCTCCTATTCTCTTGCAGTCTATGTTACTCTACAGGGAACTTCTGTTGGCTGAGGGAGGCATAACCTTTCACTGACTGAAGTTGTTAAAACCAGGCAGATACTAAGCATATGTGAACAGATTAGAGGAGAAAAAAGGTTTTCAAGGAAAAAAAACAAAGTTCTTTAAAAGTAGAATTTCCTATAATTGCAGAGTTAGTATATGAAGCATGGAACTAATTCCCAACATTTTTTCTGTGGTTTTGACTGAAGAACCTGTAGCTGTTTTCTTTATTGGGGTGGGATGGAATGTACAGGTCAAAGTAAAAGCCATATGGAGGAATTGTCAGAAATACAGAAACTTTGCTGCAAACATTATCTTTTATATGAACCAGCATGAATGTTGAATAAATTCAGAAGCTACATCCCTTTTTACATAAGTGCTTATAAAATGCTGAAGTTGTCATTTGAGGTAATGAGGTGAAAATGTTTAATTTGTCTAGTTGTTTCATTGTCATTGGGACTGTCCTGTTCCTTGTCAAGTACAGATCATGAACTATGGCTACTGAAACAAGAAGTGCAAAGAAGTAGAAAGAATAAGCAGGAAGTTATACTATTCTCATTATCATTTTAGAAATAATACATAAAATGGACAATATGCATGTTAGATTCTGAGAATGGCTGGATTACATGTCAAACTAGGAATAGAACAGGAGCAGCTGGGATCACAAAGATCACAAAAGTATTTCTTGTTTTCAATGCCTTTCCTGTCAGGCAGTACACAAAGTGGAGGATGCTCTCAGCTTTGACCTTGGGAACAAGTGGAGGAGTCAGAAAAGGAGAGCATGAGGGCTCACTTGTACCACTATCCATGTGGCTTCAAGTACATGGCTTGAAACTGGAACAGATCGTTCCAAGAGTGCCCTCTGTGGGAGATGAGTGGGCTTAGGAACCCAGAAGAGACAGCACCACCACCACCAAAGATGTGGAAGAAGGACTAGGGTGTCTGTTTTCCCTTAATTCTATTAGTTGGCCTGAAATAACACATTACCTGTGGCAAAGGAGTACTATGAAATAAAGGCACAGAGTTCTTTGCTGGATTGTCCCTCTGGGGAGCAACTGCTTTATACAAGACAGTGAAGGACACCTTCAAAGCCTGTTGCCTGAAGTTGCAAGCTATCAACATGCTAAGGAATATAGAGTATCCAGATTATTTTGATTGGAATGTACTAGTGTTACGAAATACCCATACCTGATTTCTGTAGTATCACAGACTAGTGAAGTAAAGAGTAAAGGAGACACAGGAGTAAAGAGTACTAATATGCTGCCTGCCAAAAGAACAGACAGATTTAATGTAATGAAGCCATGGGACTGAAAGGGCTGTTTGATTACTTACTGTCATGATTGTTCCAGTCTTGGTGCCAACATTCAAATGATGTTGTCTACATTAAGCTGTTATGAGACATTGAACTGTGAAACACAAGAGATTGAAAAACATCAATTAGGATACTTTGATTTTTATAACCACAGCTATTAGATCTTGCCGTACCTATCTCTCTAAAACTGAAGTGCTCTTAGTCAATTTCTGTTCCTCACCGATTAGTACTAGAATACAGTCAGGTATTTAATTTTTTGCTGTTATTCACTCACAGTGGCCACTTCGATTTGTACTTTTTATAAGTTATGTTCGCTCATTATTACGAGTCTTCTCTGGATTCCCCCCGGGGATATTATCCCCAAATACTGCAAGTTGAAATAAATGCAGCAACAAACGTAGCAGCGTACAGGGGACTACAGCTGTGAGTTCCCCTCTCCCTGGGGGTGCTGCGGGGGAGCTCTACTGCTCAGCGAGAGTTCTCTTCAGACGGTGCTCCCGGGAGAGCCCCCCAGCTTTGAGTTACGGCCTCGGAACCATCTTTTGCTCGGTGTCGGTTCACGGTTCCGCAGGGCTTTACAACACGGCAGCGCTTCCCCGGGCATCTCCTCACAGCCCGCCGCAGGTCTGCAGCTTCTCCCACGAGGCGCAATTCCCGGGGACGG